ATGACCATGGAATAAGCGGGATAATCAATGGCTAGCCGTGCATTAAAGGATTTTAAATGCACTTCGCGGAGGCAACCGCCCGACGCGAAGCCTCAACGTCGTGCATTTAGAATCCATTAATGCACGGCTAGACGTTGATTATCCCTTACTTACGTATGTGTGCCTTTCTTTTTGTGCATATGTCAGTTATTTTGAAACACGTGTCTCAAAGTCATTGGCAAGTGTTCTGTAATATTGATCACTATGGTATCAATGGCGGCTGTCAGGCTTTGACGCTATGCAGTAATCAATGGCTTCTACCCAGCTCTAATCTAGTGTATGCTTTTAGTGCTGTTGTGCTCATGCACCATACAGGAACAGAGGGATATTAAATGCAACCTCTCATTTGATTAGCGATGCCCCTTTAGTCACAACACTACGCCAGTGGAGATGACTATCACATCAGCACTCCAAATACAAGCTCCTGCTCTGGGAGGAAATGTGTTTGCCTGGCTAGGACGCTTGTTTTATATGAATTGTAGTCTCTCAAGATATTCATTTTCTTATGCTTTTTTTAGTGTGTTTATATTTGCATCTTTGTATGGGATTAACACAAATACTTTTTCATTATATAATTGTTACATACACTGACATTAACATGTTTTACACATGTGGATACAATCTGAATATTAATTTTTGCATGGTTGTCCTTTAAGTATTCATAGGCTTTTGGACATAATGTTTACACACATTTTGTACATTTGGATATATGCTGAAGCAAATTATAAAAATAACAATCATAAAAAGTATTTACTTACTATATTACATGCACAGCTTTAGAAACCATTGTAATGGTAACATAAAAAAAGATGTGTATACATTAGAGCTAAACCGATTAGTCGACAATAAAGCATTTCAATAACATGGTTTGTCCAGTGTGGCGCTACAATTCATTCAAGACTGCAATTCAGACCTCCTGAACGGAATCCAATAGAAGAAGACACACTCATAAGAAGTTCAAACAAAGAGGAATCAGAGTGTGGGAAAGTTTTACCAAACTACAAACAAAAATGCTTTCATGTGTAAAGGCCCTGATATGCACACTCAAGTTATTTTTCGTTCTTCGCTTATAGGGGTACAAATACGTTTGACATATGCAAGCAGCGTTTTACTGTTAGCGAACATCCTGTTGAGAGCGGCGTTTAGATGAATATGGAAATATATGCTAAATATATGCTAAAATATTTTGTTTTTCCTCTCAATAACAAAATATAAACACAACAAAAAAATTACAGCATTATTTATTTATTTTGTTTAACACAAATCTAAAAAGCTTTGTTGTTGTAATTTCTGATACCTGGCTTTTAATGTGGTAAAGTGCTATACGATTATAATCTGATCTCAGAAAACACAAGTTTATGCCTGGCGTAGAGCGTAGTTGTTGTGATGTAATCGGACCGTTTCGTGACTCTTCTGTTGTAACAACGTCCCAGTCCCTCAGGCTGAATTCCTGCACTTCGAGATGATTCATTATTTTTGGTAGTTTCTGCTAGAGAGCTACCGCTGCAGGCATGGAAAAATGTGTCAGCGATCTAAACCAAAGGCCAAAGAGATGGCAAAACTTGAAACGGTAAATTATTTATTTTTGTTTTGTTTTGATATCTCTATGTTATATGTCAAAACTTTAAAAACTAATTTTATCCCAACAGATCTGTGGTATATTGTATATATCAGTATTCAGGTAGAACAAAATAGAGAAAGAATACAAGTAAGCCTGAGGTAACTAGAAGTGGTGTCTGATTTCTACACTGTACACAAAACTACCATTGGTTCAGTTTCTTTTAACACCTTTTCGACTTCTGCCACTGTCCTTTCACCTTTTACTCTCATCGTTCTTCAAGCTCAAGCCTGAATGACTTGTGAAACAGCACGGGCTTGATCAATGTGCTGGTTTGCAATAAATTAAGTTCAAGTGACAGGAGAATGTCCATACTTGTCCTACCCGGTAGTGACTGTTGATTGGTGACACCCGCCCAGGCTCCCAAACCACTGCTGAATCATCAGAATTGGCTGATTTAGTTACGGCAACCCAGACAGGCCAATTTATCAATTGATCGGCTGGATAATGCATTGCTTACCTGGGTCAAGGGAGCTTGGGCTTGTGGCTAAAGGTTGAGGGGGTCAAGGGGTTTGTGGGTGTGGTGGTTCACCTCACTAGCCTGGCCTGTAGTTCACTAAAGAGGATTTAGGAAGTTGGTTGGCAGAGCTTAATCTTGCACTTAGCGGGACGAGGCACTCCTGCGGTCACACTGCGTTTAAAGAAGATGGATGCCTATGTTCTTCGGCTCTCTAGGGGGCTACACAGAAAGCCTTGATCAAGAGGCAGGGTCTCCGAACACTCCATCAGCCTAACAGCGCTGCTACCAGCCGCACACGCACGGAGCCTTTGCAACCCAAAGGATTGCTTAAGAAGAACTATAGTGAAGGAAATAGAAATGGTGGGATGAATAGATTAGAAGCACATATGAGATTTGGTGTCACCTCCTACTGCAGTACTGGGGGCGGATGAAGATACTATTTTGTGACTTACTTTGAAAAGTTGGGTCACCAGCACTTTATGCGCATCAAATACCTTGACAAATTGCTTTTTTTATTTTTTTTAATGGCGAATAGGCTTTAACACTAGAACCACCAGGGGTCGCTGTATACCTAAAACCGCCAGCGGGTAAATTTTACCCACGCACATGACAGCTGTTTCTGAATAGCTAAAAAACATTATTTCATTGTATTATGCTACTGTCTTCACAAAGAAGTGTCTAGAGTCATGAAATGATTATGTCTAGTCATCAACTAGGCTATATTTTTGTCCTGTTGTTTTATGTTCAAAACTTTTTTATGCAGGCTACACTAGTCACTTTTCATAACGGTCAATATTAAGCTAAACAAGCCTGCACTGACAACGAGAATTAGAAGGAAGTAAATACATATTTAGGTGGTGTAACTGGCTATTATAATACAATGTCATTAATCAATATATTAAGATAACCTATGCTATTTAAATAACTAAAATAGCCTATAGACAATAATGAGCAATAATAGGAATTCACCACATTGCATAGGATGATGCGATGACAAATTCAAGCGCACAGCTTCACCTAATTAATTATTAATTTGTTTAGCTATATCATTTATAATTTAAATTATACAAGAAGAACACCAATAAACTTCGGGTAATTTAAAAAAAAGAAGGTTTTATTCATTAGCCTACATCAGATTGGATTTTTTTTCTTCAGGAAACAGGCAGACTAGAATAAATAGCGTCACAGATGCGAACAATAAACGATAGAAATGGCAAAACAAAAAATAAATAATCCAAATTTTGAACAATTATGAGTAACATTA